TATCACATCTTTATAATGCTGAAGTCTTATAGATGAATAGTTTTTTTTACTTAGCAATTTTTTACACGGAGTTCGACGAAGTGTTTTTGTTGGGATATCAGTAGTTTTTTATAGGTAACATATTTTCATATACTGGCATGTAATATGTAACTTTTTATGTTTTTATTAATTTATTTTATTATTATGTTTGTTTATTTAATACACTCTATTTTTTTTTTTTTAATCATCAATTTTTTCTCCATTATTATAATATATACATTTTTACTCCCTCGAGGCCATCGTTCAAAATGTATTGCAGTGTCATTACATYGTAGCCATTTATTTTGATGTGAAATTATGCTTGTATAATGGGCTTCATTCATATATGGACCATGATGACAGATGACAGATTTTAAACCATACGATTTACCATTAACTTTAATTATTGTAGTGGGTAATGCATTAATGGTTAGGTTTGATATTTTAGTATTGATAAGACTGCCCTAAGATAAATTTAAGAAAATTATAGTTTAGTTCATTAATATCTGGAATACTAGCTGTATAGTTGATGTTCTTATTTATTACTTTTTTTAGTTTTTTAAATGTCTTTTGATAAATAACAACGTTTTGCTTTCTGTATCTAAGAACCCATTTCAAAATCCTATCTATAACAATTCTAGACTTATAAAGTGGTATATTTGTTTTTTTTTATTTAATTGTAAGTACAAGGTGAACCTATTTTGGATTATTTCAAAATCCTATCTATAACAATTCTAGACTTATAAAGTGGTATATTTGTTTTTTTTGATTTCTTACAAATTTTTATGTAGTTATGGTGATTTAATTCCAGTGGCGGTTATWACTGACTTTTAAGGGGGGGGCGGAAATTATAAAATTCATAGGACAATAATGAGTCGTTGGAATTTTTCCCCAATATTTTGAAATAATCCAAAATAGGTTCACCTTGTACTTACAATTAAATAAAAAAAAGTATAATCACAGATGCACAGTTAATCAACCATTGTAATAATAAAAATCTAAAATACAAGCATATTATGTCTTTTTTTTGTTCAGCAAAACGTGTAATGCTAATATTATCTTTATGAGTATATAGCTTTTATTATATTTTTAGATTTATATTAAGAGGACGCTTCACCCGCATGTGTTGTCTCCGTCTTACAAGTGCGTAACATTACAAAAACTGTTTCACACGGGAAAGAACCGAGAAAGATATAGTTATAACTTATAACTAAGAAACGAAATTTTCACCACATAAAAAGGAGGATTGTGTCTGTGCAATATCGTTTTTATTTTTTCGATATCCGAACTACAAAAAAGTTATTCATGCTTAAAAACACAAAATTAATATATTATAAAACAATAAGAATTKTTTTTTGTATAAATGATATCGAAAAAATAAAAACCATATTGCACAGTCAAAATTCTCCTTTTTATGTGACACCATTTTACCATTTTATGGTGAACATATTGTTTCTTAGTTATAATTGTATCTTTCTCGGTTCTTTACCGCGCGAAACAGTTTTTGCAATGTTACGCACTTGTAAGACGGAGACAACACATACGGGTGTAGCGTCCTCTTAAAATTATCGTAATATCAGAATGGGAAATCTATTACATTATTGAGATTATTCCTAGCAGCCTATATATATATACAATATACATATATAAACAATGGCACACAACTTTCCGAATAACATATTATACTTGTGTTACTATAACTAACAAGGTTAAGTTTACTTGTTAGGTCATCCGTCTGCCCGCAGGGCAGGTATGCTCTCCTCCCGCGACCCCGGAGTGGTCGCCCACCCCCTTCCCCCSCAGGTTTGCTATTTTAGCCCCGGGGGGTTTGGGGGCCGAGCCCTACGGACCTCSAGTTTGGCGACCGGAGCCGGTAGGCGAAGGGAGCTACTATATACACTTATTTATGTACAATGTTAATACAATGTTGAATTGTTGTAATTTTTTAAATGTATTATATATTATGTGTTAAATAAATATATTATTATTTAATTGATATTAACTTTATTTTGTAATTATTCTTGATTATTTTTAATAAATTATTATTGCGCCATCGTTTTTAATAGGTTAGAATACGTATGTACAAAAAAATAACAAAAATGGTCCTCCACGCGACATTATAGTAGTGTTGCGCGCATACGTATAAACGTAAAATTGAAAACTTTGGAAGGCCATAACTTCGAAACTAAGTGAGAGCGACCAATTCTGATTGCACCATCGTTCTTAACTCGATGAGTTACATAAGTTTCGATAAAAAAAATTTAAAATGTCGAGGGGGAGCCAAACTGCAATTTGTTCCACATAAATGTCRGTAACACTGATAACAGAAATTACGAATACGATAAGCGAAGACGCAGGCAACGGCGGGAACCGCTGCCCAGTGTACCCACCGCGACGTAAACGTCTAAGCAAATACTATAAATGATATAGTTTAATAGTTATTATTTAGTATAAGGAACGAGGGGGTCATACGGTCTCCTGCGCTGCTGCGTTAAACGACTGAAACGTTATAATTAAAAACGGTCGAGCACAATATCTTTTTGCTTCAAAAATACTTGACTTTTTTGCTAATATTATCGGCATTATTCAACCAATTTTTTTCAAAAATGACAATGGTGTAATCTACAAATCATGCCCGATCTATTGATACTACAAACATACCAATCCGTTCATTAATTAGGTCTGTAGTCCAGGCTAAAGAAAACGGGCAAATTTACACACATTCAATGGGTAAACTCTGGCTCGTGTAATGTACTATGGTAGTCGGTAGTGCTCTGCACGGTCCGTTATTTTAGGGACCGGACCGGACTTTACATTTTAATAGAAGACCGAAGTCGGACCGTTTCATACTTAAAAGTAAACAGAGGACCAAAGTCGTACCGAACCCATAGTACATATAATTTTTAGACCGAACCGGACCTGTAATTCAATTAAATTTAATAAAGTAGACCGGGACCGGACTGCCGGTTCGATCTTAAAACATTCTAGACCGTTTTTGGACCGGACTGTAAAGTTTATGGACCGAACCGTAAAAGTGTATGAACCGGACCGTAGTAA